CCGATGGCGATCCCGATGGCGGTGCGGCGGAGGTGAGCGGGGCCGGGAGCGGGGCCGGGAGCGGGGCAGCCTCCGCACGGAGCGCGGGGTCCGTGCGCGGCCGCGGAGCCCGGAGGGGCGGTGTCTGTGCGCCCGCTCGCCGTGCCCCTCCCGCAGCCGGCACTGCGGGATGGAGCAGCCGCCGGAGGTCATTGGGCCATTTAACACTGGGGGTTAAAGGTAGGCTTATTTTTCTTTGCGTGACAGGTCTTTCAGCATTTCTCTGACACTTAAAATAATCGTACCTAGTTTTGCGATTGCTGAGAGGACAGTTTGTTCGTAGACCTAAAATTGATTTCGGACACCATTTTGGGGCACATTTTGACAGTTGATAGTATTTAGTGGTTTATAGTTGTCTTATATATAGATTCAAATATCTCTATATATATATATATGTTCAAAGACTATAGAAGACTTTGAATATTTCTGAACATTTTTTCTGGATTTGCTTTTCCTGACAACTTCACACAACTTTTTAGAATTAGAAGATATTTGTTTATATTTCTTACAGGATGTGTGTGTTTCTTCTCGTGCCCTGACCAAGATACAGTAGAGAGATAAGCAAGTGATGGTTTATTAAGACTTCTCCTACATAGATAGGGCTACACATTGACATGTAATATGATGTTAGTTTGAGTAGATTTGTTTAAAAATATTCTCAGTGATTTTTATAGCATTATGTATTTTAGCATTATATATTATATATATTTTATAGCATTTTTTATGGCATTATGTGTTTTTACATTATATATTAGAGCATTCTTTTTACCTTTTTTTATTCCTTTTCTAGGTGGGGTCTGCTGAAATTAGTACTCCTGTGACTAGGAGGATGACTAGAAGAACTAAATCAGTTCGTAAGCCAGGGGTGATTCAGGAATCTCAGTTTGAAGAGTTGGAACATGCAGAAATTAAATCAGATGTCAGTGATAGCTCAGAGATGCAGATCACTGGGAATGAAAGCACAGCTGTTCAGTCAGCACAATCAGTTGCTGAACCACAAGTTGATGGTGACGTGTCAGAAGCAGAATCAAACTGCTCTACTGTGTCTGGTCTCCAGACACCTTTACTTGTAAGAGTAACACGAAGGCGACAAATTGTAATTCCTTATCAACCAGAGTCTGCTGACAAAAAAAAAGACAATACAGCTTTTGTAAATAAGTTAAGTAGGATTCTGGATGAAGATGATGTCTCTGAAGCCGAGTCTTGTTCCTCTGTTGTTTCTGGTGTCCAGATGCCTAATGTTCCCACAAGTACAAGGAGCAGACAAAGTAAAAAGAAACTGCAGCCACAGAGAGTTTGGGAAGCCCAGAGTGAAGATACTTCTGATGCAGTATCATGTCTAAGTTCTCATGTGGAACCATCTGTCACTACCAAACGTATTACTAGGAGCATGCAAATTAAGTCACATGCAGAAAATACTAAGCAGACTGAGAAAAAAAATAGATTTGTTTCAGAAGATGGGAATTTATTTGAGGACACTGTTGAATCTGAGCCCACAATTTCTGATTCTAGACCTACTGCAGAACTTGTCAGTGACACAGGAGATGCTTCCACCCTCATTGACAGTAACACAGAGCCCAGTCCACCTAAAAGCAAATGTGCTTCCAAATGTGCTACTGCACCCCAGAGTGAAGACATGAAAGAAGAGATTTTAAATGATGTGACATCCAGTCTTACAAAAACAAAACAAAGCAATGCTAAGTCACCTGTGAAAAAACAAAAAAAAAATACACAGTCTGTTGAGACAGACCATTCAGAAGCAATATGTGGCCAAATACAAGCAGATCACAGTAAAATACTTGCGAGGGAGGGGAAATTAGAGCGTGTGGCTGTTTCTTTGACTGACTGCATGAGTCCCAAAAAATTTCTAGAATCCCGAGGACAAGAAACGCCAAATGAAAGTAAGAAAATTGCAGAATGTGAAAGAGCAGATGCTGAGGCAGATGCACAGCAGTCTTTGTCATGTGATGAGAAATTAAGGAACAGTAAGCAAACCAGTGCAGTGAGCAGCCCATCAAAGGACATGGCTGTTACACAGACAACTAAAAGCACTGATAAAAGCAGGATGTGTGAAATTGGTGCAGACAGTGGTGACAACCAATCAAAAGAATATGTAGTATCCCACAGCAGTAAAAAACCAAGCAGTGATAGTGACTCTGTTGCATTGTTTCTGAGTGAAAGTGATGACTCTGAAAATAGTGATGTGGCAGACATAGATACAGTTAATAAGAATCTGTGCTATAAAAAGTCAGATGAGAGATCTCCCTCCTTCAAAAAATCTTTAAAAAGCGGTTCGCTGCATGTTGAAGGTCTTTTTGTAATTGATACTGAGCCTGGCATGAGTTCCAGCCAAAAGTATTATCTGGATGATGTAGACCAAGACAGTGGTGATGAAAGTAAGCATGAAGGAGATGAAAAAGATAAAGAATTAGACTTGGAAGAGGATGAAGAGGATTTGATAGATGAAGATGAAAAAGATGAAGATGATGATACGTTGAAAAGTAAGGTTGACATGTAAGTATCTTGCTAGAAATAGCTAAAGAATCTGCATTTCATTTAAGCATATGTACATTAGAATATACACATTAAGTACAGAATAATAAGGGACTAGTTGCATCACGTATGTCATGTTGCTGCAGAAAATGGTGTTGCACATATTATAAAATATGAATAAGGTCCATAAATGTAGGTTTGGGGGTTTTTTCCCATTTTAAATATAGTAGTAACAGAACTCTGAAATTTATTTTTTCATTTGGAGGCCTTGTACATGTTCAGTTTAAAAAATGATGTGAAACTGTTTTAAACTGGTCTGGCTAACCGAATTGATTATTCAGGTCACCATTTTATTTTTTTTTCCCCAGTTGGAATGTAGATAACAAAAGATCCAGTAAATTCCTTACACATTGCCTGATTAAATTTTTTTTAAAAAAAAAAGTTGCATATAATTCTGTGTCAGTTCTTGCTGTGCTGTGGATGGTGACACTTCAGGTGAAGCCTAGCATGGAATCAGAATAATTTAGGTGGTGATACTTCTTGAATTCTTATACTCCAGCTGCTACTAAAATCCCTTCTTATGTTTAAAGTATAATAGTTGTTTAGGTTGGATAGATAAATCTTAATCTAGTTAAAACCTTCTTCTGGTAGACCAGAAGACTTAGCTAAGAAGACTTAGCCAAGCCAAGTCAATGTGAAGGCATTGTACAATATCAGTCACAGTTTGATAGAAAGTTATTAGAAGTTTGTATTAATAAGCATTTAAGCTACAGTAAATACCTGTTGTACCTCCTTAGATATTACCATCTTTTCTCCACTGTACTTCAGAGCTTTTAAACATTCTTGTCATCAAAAACAGCCATTGTCATTGTTTGTGGATACATCCCTTTGGCTGTGAAAGACTAACTTTGAAATTTGATAGAACCATCAGGGTTCTCTGGGTGCAATCATCCAATCACTTTCTTACCCAAGTTTAATGGCTTTGTTCTTAGTATGGTTATACAGACAGGGACTTAAACATTCCTACAATGAATTCTACTTTCTTCATACTGCTTATTAAGAGTTACAGTATTTTTACCACCAATATGTTTTTTCTCTTTAGCTAGCAAGCTTGTATAAAAGGATGCTGGTCATGAGTTCTTCTGGCAAGGTTAAGAAAATTGACAGATTCAATTATACAGAAGTTAATAGTATCTGAGAGTCCAGCATTAGAGTTAATACAAAAGATTTGTGGAAGTGATTCCACAGGTATTTTTTAATAAGTCTTATTTCATATAATGGCATGAATCTCCCCACACCTGTTGTTTCAAAATTACATAATCTAGATAACAAGACTTAAAATCATTGCAGAAACTAATTGTGAAGAATAAGAAAAATATTTTTTCTTTAATCTTCCTCAGAGTACAGTAGGTTTAGGCTGCACACGTTACAATGTTTTAATAATTAATTATTTCTCCTTTAGTTTGCATCTTTCCAGTAGCATAGACCCTGGTCTGAATATCAAGAAGCTTGGAGGTTTATATATCAGTTTTGATGCAAAAAATCAGAAGTCTAGATCGAGTGTGATTAAACCACTGAAAGAGAAGGACCAGGTAATGTGTTTACAATTATTCACTTATCTGTGACTACAGTAACATGAAGCTGTTAAACGAAGAAGGTTGTTTGATTTTAAAGAAGTATCCTTTTCATGGCTCATTGAGAACTTACATTCTTTTTTGACCAAAGTGTAGTTTTATATTTAGTTTTAATAGTGAAAGTTTAAATATACCTGACTTTTCAGAAACTGAAAACAAGTGCAAATTCTAGCATCTTGTAAAATAAACCAGATTTTATTATACTGGAGTTTTGCCTAATGATACACAAGCTTAAGGTCTGCTGACAAGATATTTAGTCCATAGCCAGAATGAATTTCAGTAAATACGTCTACACCCTATTACGGGCTTAGCAGGTTTTTTTTCAAAAGCATCCTTTGAAGTAAAGGGAATATTTTATTTTTATTGACTCTTTTCTTTGGCTCATCCATGATAGTCCTCTTTACTCGGGAGGATTTGCTGTCTCACTTCCTCTGGAACAAGTCAGTTGCTTTCTCTTGTCCAGTTTTTGAAGATCCAGTTATTTTGAAGATCCTTATGGCTTGTATATTGCATTAGGGTGCTTGCTTAGATTCTGCATGATTCCTTCAGTAGGTTTTGTAAAGTTTGTACAGTTAAGCAGTAAAATTTGTATCAGTTAGGTTGTTCTCTAATGTTCAAAAAAATTCTTACAGCTCTTGCAAAAGAGTGTAATAACTCCAGACTTTGAAAGAAAGGAATGTGTCCCACCCTACAAGGAGTCACTTCACCAGCTAAAGAAGCAGCGCAGGGTAAGTGAAGAGCTGGTAATGCCTCAAATAACAAAATAAGCTTTGGTAGAAAGCTGCATGCTGGGACTCTGTGCATATCCAGGCCTCACTGTAAATGGAGTGATGAATTCCAATTTAGTGTCTTCTTTGAGCTGTCCTGTGAAAAGTTATCCTTTCAGTCAGTAGCCCAGTGAAGTGAATGGTTATATGTTCAGTACAAATCTGTTATTGATGCAGTGCTGATAACCTCCTTTATAACAGTGGTCATAAAATACGTATTTTAAGGGTAGATATTTGCATTCTAAATGCTTTATTAGTCTTTTGTATAGGGAGGAGTTCCCTCTTCTGTCCCATCCTAGTTACTGAATGCAAATTTATTGTTCATGGTATTGCATCCTAGGCAGAGCGAGAGAAAACAACAGGTGATGGCTGGTTTGGTATGAAAGCACCAGAAATCACAAGTGAACTGAAAAATGATCTTAAAGTTCTGAAAATGAGAGCGTCTTTGGACCCCAAGCATTTCTATAAGAAGAATGATAGAGATGGTCTCCCCAAGTACTTCCAGGTAAGGAAGCAGCAGAAGGTGGCATTGTACTGCTGAAGTTTTGAACAGCTGTTTAAGGGTACCTAATAATGTCTGTTTTGTAGGTAGCTTCTATGTTTATTTAATTTCCTATCTTTATTATTAAAATGTTTTGATTACTTGACTGGAGTTTGCAACTATTTAACTTTGTGTTACATAGGTGTATATGCTGTTGATTTTTTTAGCCTTGGCTGATCTCATAGAAGTGAACAAATATCTTACTGAATCCATATTTGAACCCTCGGAGGACTACATTTTCGCTGCTTTTTTGATAATTTTTTGATGATTTCAGCCTTTCTGATAAGCTGAAATTTTTTCTGCTTGTATCTCTCAGCTTTGAAATGGTTTGCATCAATAAAAAAATTACTACAGAAGCTATAGAAATAGACCTCCAGAAACTTTGACTATTTAGCATGCTTGAGGAAATGCTTTCATTTCTCAAAATGATGCCACTTGACTCTGAAGGGTGGAGGGTATTGTATGTTTTTAAAATCAGAGAAACATAGACTGAAGTGTTGTGCAAAATTAGATCCATGCAGGTTTATTTTCACTGCATGAAACATGTACTGTGTGTATATCTTTACTGCTAACCTGAGCTATGAGAGCTGACTGACATGCTGGTTTGAAAAAATGTGATCATTTTCAGGATGAAGCCCTTGTATTAAATTAGCTGCTGTGTAGTCATCTAGCAAAACCACCAGAATGAGAGACAGGAATAGGTTTAAGGTGGTCATAAAGGATTCTTTTCCCTTATGTTTAAAATGTTTAAAAGTTAAGAACTGGATTTCATTTATGAATTAGTATTGATACAGGAGTCCAGCATTGAAAACTGTACAGTCTTAAAGCTCAGGCTTTCTTCTCTGCATTCCCCAAAGAGACCAAAAGGGACTCTGCATACAAAACATGACTTACTGATTCTGGTATTTTGCACTTTTATTAAGCAGCTGTCAGGATCATCTGCTCTGTAGGTGTCTTTGCACTTATTGATGTGATTTAAAAAAAAAAAAAAGGCATAATAATCAACATCTTGTTGCTCATGTACAGTAAGAATGTTTTCATTTTTCTTTCCTAGGTTGGAACTGTAGTTGATTCTCCCATAGACTTTTACCACAGTCGAATCCCTAAGAAACAGAGGAAGAGAACAATTGTGGAAGAGCTGCTTGCAGATTCAGAGTTCAGAAGGTATTTTAAAGTAGTTTTGTAATTTTAATATCCTATGTAAAAAAGGAGAATTTTTAACTCTGTAGCCTTTTTTGGTTTTATTCAGCTTGTAGGGTGGTTAGCACTTCCATAGTACTACCATTTAGAAGGCCTAAGGAACCTTTATCTAAGGGGATAATTAGACTGAGATAAGGTATATTTCATCTTCATTAAAGGGTTTTATCCAGCTTTTGTCATCACTGTTGGCAGCCACTCTTAAAGACTGATTATTTTTTCTTGGCATAATGGATAAAAAAGAGCAGCCTGTAATTCTTTGAATGTTGATATTAATTAATTTTATAAATACATCAATCTGCCACCTGTCATGGGAGTCAAAACTCTGCTAGAAGAGTTACGTAAGATTATGATTGGATTAATTAATGTCTGCATAGCTTGCAGTTCTCGGAGTAGATCATTTAGTTGGTCCATTTTGGTATTGGTTATTACATGATGTTAATCTGCATGTCTCTCTTCACATAATGAAATTTTTTCTTTGAAGTAGTGCATGATTTGGCATTACAGAGTTAATTTTATTAGACTTGTAACTTTAACTGTAATGTTGGGAAGGCAAGTTGCTGCATCTGTTTCTAAAGTAGTTTTCTGGTTTGACTGACAAATTAGGTATTTATTAGAAAGTAGTTTTAAAAATCTATATATTTGAAATTTGATCAGTTGATTTATGTTGTGGCTAATTAAGGGATTTAATCATATACTTCAGCATTAGTGCAGGTATTTGTCAGATTTTGTTGTTGCATTTAAAGCCTCAGCACTGCTCAGTGTGCAGTGTCTGTCATACTCATCAGTGCAGGTTCATAGTAGTCTGTGTTAGAGGAGCTAGCAACTCACATTCAGTAATTACCCTGCTCACTGTTTAGTATTCACCTTAGCTTTCTGTCTGGAGTAGAGTAAGGTTTATTATCTTGAGTGTGGTGAGAAGGCACTATAAAAGCAGGTGTAATTTCTTCATGGTATTGTTGAAATTGTTGAGTCTTCCCCTTAAGAGCAGTAGTGGTGTTTCAGCAAACTGTCCAAAATGTGACTGCATATGCAGTGAAGACCTGACCCCCCCAAACCAAAATTAATTACAAAATTCAATAGAATTCACTTCCAAAGCAAATTTACCTGCATTTATCATTGATCCAACTGTTGATTCTCCTTTACTTACACATAAATGTATAAATCAAAGAATCTGATTCAGAAAACATGAGAAAACTCCGTTTGGCAAGTAATGTGCATAGAGTTACTGTCCATGTTATCTTTCCCTGAACTTTGGTTTGCCATGCTTAAAAGTAAATTATCTATTTTGTTCAGATATAATAAAAAGAAGTATCAGGAGATCATGAGTGAAAAAGCAGCTTTTGCAGCAGGGAAGAGGAATCGGAAGAAGAAGAAATTTCACAATTAAGAATTGAAGAAAAATACCAAGCTGGAACAACTTACTTGTTATAAAACTTTCTTACAGAATGCTTTGGTTGTGGTGTTTTGTTTGGCTTTTTTGAAGATTGCAGGTCACAAATTGAGGTTTAGGGAAATTCTTGCCACGAGAATTTGCAAGGAAGCTTTAGAAAATTATCAGGTATCTCAATTTAAATTAATTTCGATTTTTCAATTACTTTTTATTTTAATTAATATTTATGTAAAGAGATAATGATATGAAAGCATATTGTTACATTTGAGTGCAAAATTCAGTTTCACAGATTGGGGTCTTCTCAGGTTTCAGACCACATCAATTAATTAGTAAAGTTTTTTGTGTAATTCATCTTGTCACATATTGTGTGCCAGAATATATTTTTCCCTGACTAGTCAGAGGTGCTGCTGGCCAAAACTAATGGAAGGCATTGAAAAATCATTTGGTTGTGAAGGATTTACTTCAACACTGATCATAATAATATAGAGAATGTCCTGGAATTCAGTGCCTACACATATACTTTCATATTTATGTGTGCATATATTATAATATATATATTATTTCTAAGATACAAACTGCATATTATTTAATAAATAATATAAGTAATACTTATATGTAAAATTTTAATAATCATGTTTTGCTTTTATTAACTTCTACCATTTGATTATTGTCTAATGGTATTTTGAAAATGACATTGGCATCCATTATCTAGGGGGTGGTATGCAGATTGTGTCTGTTAGCTGACCTGGAACAAGGTGAACAAATGGAGTGAGTGTGGAAAGTCCCTGCTGCCACTGTAGAGCCAGAGATGTCATCAGCTCAGTTCCCCCTCAGTGACAGGTCAGGACTGTTTGTGGTTGTCAGAACTGCTGTGGTGTTTGGTTGGTTTTTAATGACCTGGTCGTTTTATTGCTGTTACAATTAGTGTAATTTAGTTACTGCCCTGAGGTAGCAGAAAAGATGGATAATAGAAGAAATTAAACTGGCACTACATTGTCTTAGGTGATTTGGGTGATTAGGATGTAGAAGTCACTATCAGAGGAGCAGTGGTTGATTGTTTCCTTACCACAAGAGCTCTGAATTTTAAAGGTTGCAAATCTTAAGCAAGAATTGCTTAAAATCATGTTCTTGACTAATGTTTAACTTCAAGTTTTCTACTGAGAAGTAGATTTTTTAAGGATTAGTTAGTTGTGCTGAAATGAGCATTGTGGTAGATACTGACCACCAACTGAAGCTTGAAATAAATTTTCCTCAGATCCTTTGGGATTTTTTTTTTAATCATTCCGAAGTTGGCCATAATGTTTTACTACCAAAACCAGACAGGAATCTAGAGTCCTTCAAAAGTCTTCACTGCCAGGAGATGAATGGTGTCAAAGTGAATTCATTGGGAAATATTTAACAAGTACAAGTAGAACCACCTATCCCCAGGTCTCAGTTAATATGCACAGGCTATTTTAATGCAATGATATTTGTGCTAGTATCTCAATTTCCAGTAAACTATAAAAAAGCCAATAAAAACAGCTATGGTGTCATGTTCGCTGGCTGAGACATGGAAGCACAAAAAAGTTAATACTGAACACGGAGAGTTTTCATCCTGTTGCATCCTGAGGTGTTCAGGTGCAGCTTTGGAGAAGCAGCATGCAAGCCTGAAAGCCTTCAAAAGAGAAATGCAGGCTGTGATGTTACACAGCAAACAGCAGCTCCGTGCCTGTTGCAGCCGAGCAGGCTGCTCAATAGCTACAGAAGTTACTTCATGTGCAGCATAGCTAGAAAGGGATTTGGTTTGTGTTCTATATCCTTTCCCTTCCTTTTATTCTTCTGATCCCTTCAGTTTTGTCCCACACTGTGCTCAGCGAGTGTTCTGTGCAGACGGGCCGAGGTGTGCTTGGCTGTTCCCAGGGCTGCAGGTGGCACTTGCAGGTTGTGCTGGCCGGCTGTGCCAGTCACCCTTGCCTGAGCCTGTGCCTCAGCCTCTGGGAGACAGGCACTGGACAGAGCACCTTTCCTTCGCCACCAGTTTACACTAAAACTGACCGATGGGCTTTGAAACTGACGGAAAGTTTAAGGTGCTGGAGAGATTAAAACCCAAATGCACCATGCGAATGCCTGTGGTTATTAGATTTCTCTGAAAACACATAAAAACTTCCGTGAAGCTTTGCCTGTCAATTACAAGTAGCATTTCCTTTTTATGGCAGAAATATTTGTGCTAATTTGTAATTCTGCCTTTACTGACTGTGATGGTAAATGTGCCTGATGGTGTGTTTCATTTGTTTCATTTTCAGATTCTCCTTTATTGCTTTTAAATAAGCGTTATTACAGTTGGAAATTATACCTGCAGAATTAAAAATAATTTATCAGGAAAACTCCACAAATTAATAATTCAGGAGTAATGAATTAATTTATTCTATTCTGAGCAAAATCAAGGTGGTTTGTTTATTGCTGCTGTTGTTTTGTTTTACCACCTAATTTGATTGCTGCAATTAGAACGGTTCTCCATCTTCAATCTGTCGGTAAATTAGAAAAGATGATGTGGATTCCGGTGTTTTGTCGGCTGCAGTTTGTGGGCTTGTTTCATTACTTCAGAGTAACCAGAAATGTATCACGGTGACCCATCTTAACTGAAGTGCCTCCAGGAAAGAAAAAGTCCTGGTTTTTCAAGTAAAATTACTTTCTGCAGACTGTCCTGGAAGCGTAGCGGCCCCACAGGGCTGGCTGTCGGGTCTGACCGCTCTGACGGAGCTCAGGCCGGGTAAAGGAGAGCAGAGCCCTTCTCCCGCTGCCTGAGGGCGTCGGGGCCGGATAAAGGAGAGCAGAATCTTTCTCCTGCTGCCTGAGGGCGTCAGGGCCGGGTAAAGGAGAGCAGAGCCCTTCTCCCGCTGCCTGAGGGCGCCGGGGCCGGATAAAGGAGAGCAGAGCCTTTCTCCTGCTGCCTGAGGGCGGCGGGGCCCAGAGGAGAAGAAGAGCCGAGCCCTTCTCGTGCTCTGCCTTCTCGCTGGCGGTGAGGAAGCCTCGTGTCGCCGGGCCGAGCAGACACGGCAGGTTCGGTCGATGGCGGCTGTCGCCGCACGCTTCCAGCGTTCCCCAGACCGCCAGGCACTGCGGGAGGCGGGCCCGGAGAGCCTCGCTGACGAGAGAAGGGCCAGGCCGGATACCTGCGGCGGTGAGGTAAGGGACGGGAGAGCGCGGGGGGAAGATTTCCGTCAAAAAGCCGTAGGGGGCGGGGAAATTTATAAAAACTAAAAAAAAAAAGGAAAAGAGAAGACACGACTCCGCCGGGACTCGAACCCGGAACCTTTGAATCCCTTCAAACCCTCTAGAAGTCCAATGCGCTATCCATTGCGCCACGGAGCCACCTGTTGGAGTTTTCGCACACCGTCCATAGAGCCTGCGCATGCCGTCACGCGTTAGCCGTGAATGTTTAGGGTTTTCTTTCTCCTTTTTTCACTTTTATTTTTTCTTAGCCAGCATGAATAGGGTTAGTCGTACACCGGAATGCGCAAACGAGCCTCACGGCAGCCCCTGTGTGCTGCCTGGGCGCTGCCCACCGCCCGGGTGGAGTCCACGGCTTCCTGTGCAGCGCTGGCCACGGGCCTGCGTCCTCATTTCTCACGGAAGACCGACTTCATCGGTGATCAGTATAAAATGTTTGTCGTCATCCCACTCTGACGTTTCCAGTATTGATCCTTATGCTCGAGGGATATAATTATAATCCACAATTGCCTTGTATTGAGGAACTGTTCCTCCAAAAGTCTGTAAATGCTCAGTAGCACCGCCCTCCCCAGTGGATTCAGAAAGGGAAATTTTTCCATAAAAGCTGTAATTCTAGTCTGAAAAAAGTCTGCAATACTATTTTTTAAAACTATAAATAGGCATAATAGAATCTAGGATAGAAATCCTAGAGACAGGAGTATGCAGTTATTCTTTCTTTAACCTTGCCCTCCAGTATATTGCAAGTGGAGCCTGTGGCCTTCTGCTCGGGGAGGGCACGCAGGGCTCTGGACAGTGAGGACTGTGCAATAAAACTTCGTGCTGCACTTTATCATAATTTAAAACTGCAGGTATCCTTAAGAGTGGAGAATAGCACGTAAATAAACACACCCTAAAATCTGAGGAACAAGGAAGCTAATCACACACATGTAAAACAATTCAGAGACACAATCCCCGAGGTATTGCTTCCAGGACTGAGATACCGAGTGCAATGAATAACCGAGGTGACTCAGGCACTCCAGCAGTGTGTCCTGTGGTTCCCGGCAAGCCAGCTGCTGCACCTGTGGCCAGCAGTGAGCCAGAGCTCTTGAGCTGCCTGACAACTGAGTAGCTCTTGCAATTCTGCCCAGAAAAGGAGGTTGCTGGAAACATTCAGCAGGTACAGCAAGTACCAAATTGGAGGTACAACTCCCAAGCTAACAGGCTGTTGTTGAGCCAGAACATTTGTAAACAAACCAAAATTTACTAAGCTGTACAAGATTCAGAGCAGGTCTGATCAAATTTCTAAGCTCTGGGTCTTACCACAGTTGTTCTGCTATGGATAGAATTCTTCATAGTGCTCCTGGTAAAGGAATGCAAAGTCTGGAAAATTTGACTCCTCAAAGCCCTGTAGTGCAGAAAAGAAGCAGAAGTCTTGTGTTTAAGAACTGAGTTGATCTTCAGAATAATAAGCTTAAACTTATGTTTGTGCAATTCAAATAAACCTCTTGTCAGTAACTAAGAATCACTGTAAACATCTTGTAGTTTGTGGACACCTGGGCATGCTCATTGTGGAGTGCAGTGGGGGTTGGTGCCTCATCCAAGTGATCTGGTAGTGCGGCGCCTTCGGACAGCATGGCACTAAGTGGCTGCAGATGGTAAAGAACCAGAGAAGAACCATTCTTTTCTGTCACAAGACTGGTTCTGAGACTGTAAGAGTGAAGATTTGACACTCACATGATTGTTACTTCCTCTCATATTTTCATTGTGGATAGTTGGTTTATAAAGTTAAAAAAGGGCTGGTTCCATTCATGCAGGATGACTGACTAGGAAAACGTTTGGAATTTTTCCAGAAATGTTTCCAAATATT